ATCCTTCTTTCATTCCATGACAGCTGGTTGGTGCGGTGGTCCGTAATCTACCTTTGAACGCAAAGCTGCCACCGCTGAATTCATGGGCGGCTGTTACAAGTGGATTGCGTACCAGCGTACACAAGTATGTTTAATTAGCATACGTGAAGAGCGTATGTGTAAATATATATATACATGTATTCGTGTGTGTGCTTATATATATATATATCTATATATATATGTATGTATGTATGTTTGTATGTATGTATGTATATATATATGTGTGTGTGTATAAATATATATCAATATACATATATACATACATATATATATAAGTATTTATATAAATATATATATATATATGTGTGTGTGTGTGTGTGTGTGTGTGTGTGACATGTGCGTGTATGGTTTTGTGAGTGTGTGTGAGTGTGTGATGTGTAAGGTTTTATCTTCTTGTACACAAAGTATCTCTCCGTGTGTACGATAGTCTAATTTAATTGTCAGTGGAATGCAACACGTTGCCTTTCTGTATACCTTGTATAGTGGCATATGCGCAGACTGTCCTTCGTAAAAGCAGAGCTGTACACCTATTCGACTACTCCTTTGAAATTCTTGATGCCGATACTGGCTCTTGATTGATTCTTACTTAATTTTCTAAAATACCTATTTATCAATCCGTTCCTCTGATTGATCTACAGACTCGATGCCAGGCGAGCCTTGATCATGTTCATGTCGTATAACGACACCCCCGTGGAACTATCGGTGGCTGACAAGGCACTCAACACACTGGTCCGAGTGGCTCAGGCAGAAGGACGGACTGTGAGTTTCAAGGCAACCTGGCTTAAGCGAGACGGTGAGTTACACATAATAACTTCATGTACACAAACATATGTATGTATATATATATATATACTTGTACATATAAATGTACCATATATTTACACATGCAATACATATGCATATACATATAAATATACATATACATATGCATATAAAAATATATTTATACATATACATATACATATATATATTTATATATATATACTTATACTTATACTTATACTTATACTTATACTTATACTTATTCATATACATGTACATTTACATATACATGTACATTTACATATACATGTACATTTACATATACATGTACATTTACATATACATGTACATATACAAATACATATAACTATAAACATATTACATATCGCCAATACATATCCCTTATACATATGCAGCCCCCCTCTAAATTGCCCCGTCGTTGGCCTCTGGTTATTTCACGAGTCCTTTTTTGTGCCATACCCGATATATATATATGTATATATATATATATATATATATATATATATATATATATATATATATATATATATATTATATATATATATATATTATATTATATTATATTATTATTAT